CACATTACTCAAAGGATCGAGTTCAGACATATACAGTTGCAAGAAAAAGTATGTGAACCCTTTGGAACTACCTGGATTTCTGCATAAATTGGTCATAAAATGTGTTCTGATCTTCATCTAAGTCACAACAATAGACAAACACAGTCTGCTTAAGCTAAAACCACACAAACAATTATATGTTTTTATGTTTTTATTGAACACACCATGTAAACATTCACAGTGCAGGGTGGAAAAAGTATGTGAACCCTTGGATTTAATAACTGGTTGACCCTCCTTTGGCAGCAATAACCTCAACCAAACGTTTCCTATAGTTGCATATCAGACCTGCACAACGGTCAGGAGGAAATTTGGACTATTCCTCTTTACAAAACTGTTTCAGTTCAGCAATATTCTTGGGATGTCTGGTGTGAATCACTCTCTTGAGGTCATGCCACAGCATCTCAATTGGGTTGAGGTCAGGACTCTGACTGGGCCACTCCAGAAGGCGTATTTTCTTCTGTTGAAGCCATTCTGTTGTTGATTTACTTCTGTGCTTTGGGTCGTTGTCCTGTTGCATCACCCATCTTCTGTTGAGCTTCAATTGGTGGACAGATGGCCTTAAGTTCTCCAGCAAAATGTCTTGATAAACTTGAGAATTCATTTTTCCGTCGATGATGGCAATCTGTCCAGGCCCTGAGGCAGCAAAGCAGCCCCAAACCATGATGCTCCCTCCACCATACTTCACAGTTGGGATGAGGTTTTGATGTTGGTGTGCTGTGCCTTTTTTTCTCCACACATAGCGTTGTGTGTTCCTTCCAAACAATTCAACTTTGGTTTCATCTGTCCACAGAATATTTTGCCAGTAGTGCTGTGGAACATCCAGGTGCTCTTTTGCAAACTTCAAACGTGCAGCAATGTCTTTTCTGGACAGCAGTGGCTTCCTCCATTTTATGACCAATTTATGCAGAAATCCAGGTAATTCCAAAGGGTTCACATACTTTTTCTTGCAACTGTATTTGTTTCAGAGAGTGTGAACTATACTGTACAATGATTTTGTTGAGCCCAAGGTTAAAGGTCTGAGGGGACTCATGCTGTATCAATAAATTATAACTTAAATACATAAATACATGTTAAACTCTGTCTAATTGTATATCCAGGTAATTCAAGGTTTTCCCTTCCTTGTAGTGTGTTCTATTGGTTTTTGTGCATGGATGCATAGTCTTTTATGTGACACCCCCATTTTCAACACTCACGCTTCTATTGGCTAGCGCTCCAAAACATTGTACGTGATAGGCTAAGAGGCGGTACATCTCTAAGCAGTTGACCAATCACAACAGAGCCGTCCAGCTAACTAATCAGAGCAGGCTGGGCTCTGGTTTCAGACAGAGGGTGAAAAGAGGTGCTGCGGCACAGGCAGAATGAGAAAAATAAAGACCGTTTTGAACATTAAAGCATAAGTCATAGCATAAGTAAAGTAACATCATGACTCCTGAGTTTGCGTAACTGAAACACCAGACCCACTGTGACATTTGCCTTTTTTGGACATAATGTTGTTACGCTTGTGCTGCAGAGGGAGTTTGGCAGAGGACCTTACCTCCCACGAGATGACCAGTTCGTGCCTGCGGCCGTTCCCTCCGCTGACGTTCGATGGTGCCACTTTCGGGACTGTGTGAGGCAGAAAGGTTAACAAAGCATCACTGACCCAACAGCACAAAACTCACTCCAACACTTTTTGAAATAAAGAAAAGAGGAATTGGACTGAGGAAAATAGTCTTCTCTCTTTTTTTATATATTATATACACACTTTCTATTTTCGGAATGGTTGCAACAAACAGTCAAGCATGTGCAGCTTGATTACCAATTTGTTTTAAAAGGTTAAAAAATATAGTTGTTGACTCTAAAACAAATTCCAAAACTAAGATATGCTTATTTAAAAAATTCAATCAGAAAAGGTTTAACTATTAAATAATGAGCCAAGAAATTATAATGAGTATTTTTAAGAAGTTTAATCTTCAGCCTTCACCTTTTTCATTCACTAATTATGTTTTTGTTCCTTTTTTGTATTGTTATTTAGGACCAATTGTTAATTAAGACCACATGAAATTGTTCTGCTAATTGAAAACACACAACAAAAATGTTTTCATTCATCATTATAATTTAACAAATTAATTATTTTTAGTCAACCAATACAAACTGAAAAATAAAATGTTTTCATGATGTGCTTAGAAAACATTGCTCAAGTAAACAAACCTATGCTTAAACAAAACCAGTTTCAGAAAACATCAAAAACTCAGTGATTGTTTGGTGTTTGCGCCTGCAGTAAAATATCTGTCAATCAAATTGAAAGTGATGGCAGGTTTCTGTGTCCTGTTTTTCTCTCTTTCGCTTGATCACAGAACATGACTTTAAGGACGAATAACCACAACCGTGTGCAGATACAGTAATTAGTCTGTTAATTATGCTGAGTAGATGGGACACATTAAATAAGCCATTTCCAAATGACCAATGACCTTTGTAATTATCGTGTTTTATAGACGAGGAATGAGCATTTAGTGAAGCGGTTCGCCTGATCAAGACTGTCTCAGTTATTTTTCTGCTCACCATAAATAATGCACTTGCGGTGTCCACGCCTCAGGGCATTAAAAGGATGCTTAGACAAAAACACTACAGTTGTTGAAATTCGCGCAGCTTATTTTCAACCATTTTGGCCAATACAAATGGAGAATTAACAATGGGAATACAACATGGCTAGGAAGTGTCAAGTGCCACTGGCTCTAGCTAAAATCAATCATCAGCTCTCATTATACATCTTTCTGGATTGTTGGTGATTGCTATTGTCTGTCATAATGTGTAATATAATGCAGTGCATAACAGGTATTGTTTAGGCTGAGGGAATGTACCTGCTTCCTTAGACCTAACTCCTCTCGAAGGTGCACTGGGATCTCCGGTCCCAATGGCATTGCTGGCCACCACCCTGAACTCATACTCCACCCATGGGTTGAGCTCCACTGCCATGGCTGACTCCATGTCTCCTGTCACTGGGTCTGGGTCTGCACACAAGAGTGTCACATGTGTATTTATTTAACCAGGACAAGCACCACATCACAGTTCCTGTTCTTCAGTCAGACATTCCCTGAAAGACTTTACAGCTTTAAGGGTGTCCGAGATTGTTCTGATCCATATTGAGTAAACAGGGTTTGAATCATAGACGTTTAAATAAGTCTGCAGCATGGCAATTATGGTTAACAAACAGGCAATCGGTCAAACTTAATTTTTTGTTAGGCCTGATCATTTGAAAGTTATGTGCTATAATGCCAAGGCAGTCTCCTGACCTGAATAACAGGCAGGTTTTTAAATGAAAACGATTATACAAGATGAATATGATGACTTCATAAGATTACTTTAAGGTGACATATCATACAAAAACTCACTTTCTTATTTATTGTTCACATACGTTTGGGAATATGGAATCTCTTCCAACACAGAAACTGTGAAATATGTCAACAGACTAGTTATTGTTGGTCGGCTGCCTCAGATCAGAAAACATGGTGGGATTCAACAAGCCGTTCAATGTCCCACCTGGTCTCATTAGAATATACTAGAGCTACCAGTGAAATTGGGGGTTTAAAGAGACAGGCACTACAATTAACCATTTCAAAAACATGCAGACATGTCGTAGTAAAATCCCAGAAGCCAAGTATAAACATAAAAATGATCCCTGTCCCTTTTAGACTATGACACATTGGTGAATTAGATTCTGTTCCCTAAAAGTGGGGGATAATTCCTACGACTGTATGTAAAAGCTGTGAGTTAGCCTTAAAGCAATTTTTTTCATTTTAAATCCAATAAGCTGGAGAACCACCAAAACACGAAAAAACATTGTCTTGGTTCTTAAAAACTACAAAGTATTAAAGCTTCCCTACAGACCTACTGTGACTTGGCATTTTATTCATTCACAAGGTGGTGACTACGGTATACACATTTTACTGGAAACCTTGGCATATGATGTTGTTTTGGTGTCTAAATATCAGCTTACTCACAGCTTTAGAGCACATTATAGTACAACTCATTACATCATAGAGGGAAGCTGATTTCCACAGAGGACTTATATAGCTATGTAATTTTAAATCCCATCCTGAGACTGAAAGAAAGTTGATTTATGAATGTACTTTGAATAGAATTACAAGCAGGTAACACAACTAATCTAGTTTCTTCAGGGCTCTCATAATCACGCTTTGTCAATATTGATCCCGCAGCAACAAACAAACATTGACTGAAAGCATATCCGTGTCACAAATGAACCAGAGGTCTCCGTATGCTAAAGCAACATTCATGACGCTGAGGAGCTTACACTCTTATCATCCAAAGCAGCTCACAATGAGACCACTCTGTCAAGCAAGCTGCTCTTCAAACATGAGCTGATAACTCTGTTTGAGAGGAGTGGGAGCGAAAAGCCCAATCCCCCCCTTTATGCTAATCTTAACAACTTCAACACTGACAATACATCACAGAGCCCTAATTGTGCTTTATCGAATTCTATGTAGTTGAACAGACATGATGTGAGAGGAGTGTATACAAAGTATGATTTATATATCTGTGGGGACGAATCATTATCACACCTTAAACTCTGCCATCACACGGCATATTAAGATGGATTACACACAATGCTTAGCAAGCCTTCATCCTTTAACGCTAAGTGATTGTAGTTGATCATTTTTCTCTCAAAGTGACAGAAAAAAATAAGCACATTTTAACAGTAAATCTTTAATAAAATAAGTATTATAATCCATGCCTAAAGGGTTCATTTCCCACTCACCACTTTTGATATTGTCTCAAATAACTTTTGCTAATCTCTACTGAACAACAGCCAAGTTCAACCACAAGACGGCATCTTCTTAAACGGACATTTGAGAAGAAAAAAAAACGTCTTTACCACGATTTGGCACAGTGGAGTGTAAGACGCATAAAGCTCAGTATATGAGGGTAAATGGTAAGGTCATTTAAATCAATTATTAAAACTCCACGTTCAGTTTTTACATGTTATAAATTGAACTGTGTTGAACAATCTTAACTTTTGAGGAAGATTTCTGACTGACCATCTGCATCGTATGCCACAGTCAGTGTAAAATGCAGATTTCCAGTGGAATTAGAGATATAGCTTACAGGCTTACTCATTCATTTGTATTCAGCTGATTGACTATTTTGGTAGTTTAATCCTGTAAATGTAAAACAGTTATGTTCCAGCTGAATATTTCATAACACTATATGTAAAAAAAAAAAGACACACAAAATGATTTTGTTCTCAAATGACTTCTCTGCAGTAGCGTTTCTATCCATCTGCATTTCCTTGTGTTGAACACTAAACACATATATTAATGCAGCAAATAGTCGTTTGCTGTTATAGTAATTGTCTGAATATCGATTTGAAAACCTTTAAGATACAAATGTCCCTTGCCACCAGAGATTTACAATTATTTATTTTAAATCCTAGCTTAATCTGGATCCCCGTACATGACTTTACGCCGTATTAAAGCCTTTGTGTATGGCGCCACATTAACCTCACAGATCTAGAGGCTGCAATTTGCTCCTTATTGATTACCTGTTTGGACAGTTTGCCAGCCTAATGAAAATGGGCTGCGGGCCTGTATATTATAGGTGCTGATAGGGCTGTGGTTGTCCAGGCCACGAGTCCAGGACAGGGTGGCCGTGGTGTCGGTGATCTCCTCCACTATCACCACTCCAGGGGGGCCGGGAGGGCCTGGAGGAAAGAGAGAGAGGAGACAGATTAAATTACAGCTTTCAACTGCTACACCACAAATGTTTCAGGATTGTCGAGACACAGGGGGATAAAATGATCACTGCTGCTGTTTGAATCAATTCTAAGCCGGTCCATATTGAGATGTATTAATCATGCATTGTTGCCATTAGACACACTAATGGATGCAACCATGCAAGCATTAAGAAGGATGTGCAGCTGTGTGCATATGCTGACAACATTAATTCTCTGTTGTAATCTGTGCACAAACAAACAGCAGAAATGAACATATCTAAACTGAGGCTGGATTTGTGTCTGACACAGATCTGCTGCCAAGGATTTCATGTCAATTCAGGAATATTGAAGCTTTTGGTTTTGGGGTTTTCGAAGGCTGTTTACCAATCCCTCTGAGCATGACTGAGTGTTGGACCTTCATGGGTTTTAATACAGCTGAACATATGTTTACCTCTTCAGAAGTAAATCTAATCTGCAAATGCAGGAAACAACTAAGGACTCAAGGGGGAACAGCTGTAAATGAAAAGGTGGCAGCTGGTGCGTTCAATGAAAAGTAATGTACTGTGTCCCCAAAAAGTGCCCATTAGAAGGTTGCACTGAAAGGTGCATTTGCAATCTCCTGCCTTCTATTAGGAGCTTTATGTTTAATGACATTAATTACAAACAACCAGACATTACACATCAAACCCAGAATACATATATGAATATTTTATGGATAAGATATATTAAATAACTTTTCTAAATAATCATTTAAATAAAAGATATTTCGGGAAAATCTAATCAGCAACTCTTAAATCACAGTTAATTTAATCAATATTTATATTGCAGAGTCTAATTTAATCATAAGGTGGAGACACTTCAGGTGATCAGGGTAACAGTTTATTCCAATAGATATAACTATAAAATATAACCCCCCCGGTTGATTACTTAAATACGTGTATCTGAATATGGGCTAAAGCCAGGTTAAAAATTGTTAAATTATGTTAACTAATACCGAGATTAACAGAGGGAATTCTGGGATATTTATGTTTATCAATGTCAACAGCCATGCATAATATAATGAATTTAATATTATATAAATTATGCTATGATATATGAACAAACCCCTATGGATATACAGAATATACTGTAGATGGAATTAAATGTATTTTTGTAAAAAATGGTGTTTATGTGAGTGTTACTCATTAGAGAAAACAGCCTTTAAGAAATATTTGTATACCCTTCCATACAGGGGAAAAGGGTTAGAAAGAAATTGCCATGACATTTCTCCAGCCGATGACTCACAATATTAGTTTTTTGTATTACACGTTTTCTGAAATGCTATGTTTAAAAATGCAACTAAAGCATTATCTTATTCTTACTTTTGGTCACTTGAGAGTAGACTAATCTGCATATGAACAAAATAAAGTGTCGTAAAAAAACACCATAATGTGTGTTTGGATGTTCTCTTTTCACTAATTTGAAAAAATGATGTAACACTGTGTGAAAAAGCATGTGTTGCCCATAGTATCACTGTTTCTGCTAAAGCACAAACAAAGAAGACAATAACACATTTCCAGGCCTGACATCTCAAAAGACATGTGTAAACAGTATTTGAGGTCATAGTCTCGAAAAACTACAGCATCTGTGTGCATGATAACCTTTTCATCACATCATCAGCAACAATCAGAAACAGCCACAGAATCTGATCACTAGCCATTTTAGCCATTCATCTGTTTAACAGCACACACTAAACTCGTTCATGCAGGCAGACCGTCTGTCAGCCTTACTCACAGTGACTATAACAAATTAATCAAGATCAGAAGGTTAAAAAGGGGGCAATAATGTGGAAAAAGTGCTGTCCAATTGTCTCCATCAAGAGCAAATATTTAATGTCTGATGTCATTAGAAAACTTCCCAAAGCAGTGGCACAAATTGGAGCCAATTTGCTAGATTCACAGTGTTGTGTCCATTTCCACTGGACTAAGCTTGCCAAGAATAACTCAGTAAGAGAATAAATGTGATTTTCGGTTTAGTGGTTCAGTTTAAAGGGGGCAGAGAGTCACTGCCTGCCCCAAAGAGTGAACACAACGTCACATAGTACTGTTCTACCGACACATGACAAGCTCACCTCGCACAAGGAGTTCAGACTCTGTAAACACAGTGTCGGCGCTGGTCTGGGCCCGACACCCATACTTCCCAGCATGCTTCAACAAAATGCTCCTGATCATCAGGTCCACTGTGGACGACTGCTGCAATCGGAAGGAATAGAATACAAACAAGTTAGGTATTAAGCAAGCCTAAATGTGCTTGACAAAAAGAAGTGTGATGCCTTTACATCTTGTAGAGGCTCATGTGGCTTGAGAGATTCCTGTTTAATTCAGGTGCTCGCTTGCTACATTCTTCAGCTACTCCTATTTTCTCTGTTGAAATGAGAATCGCCTAAGGCAAGGCTGGGAATAATTCAAGGTCTACAGGCAGCTGTTTAGCAAGAAACCTGATTAAAATTACACACCATGCATCAGCCAGGAATCTGTTGTGTAAAGGATTGTCACTGTAAATACTTTCTCTCCAGAGCATTGGTAGTAGCAGAGGACACACAGGACAGATGTGACTTTAACATCCACTGAAGGAATGGTGACATAAAGAGGACTCCCTGCTCTCTGGTACATTTGTTTTCAACTTCATTTTATGGTTTGTGTATCCAATAGTTTCTGTATTGTGGAGATTGGAAATGTTTCTTTGTACAAATATAAGTGTAAATTACGCTTGTTTAACCCTGTAAGGCCCCCGGTTGTTATTTTACAACATCACTTTAAGTTATCCAAAAAAGTCAGTAAATGTTTGTTTTTTTAAAGACTACATTTACAGTACATAGTCAAAAGGTCCTTTTGTACTGGAAATGTACTTTTCAAAATGATGCATCTTAAAATAAAATAAAAATACAGAGGACCAAACTCAACATTTTCAGTTTAGCCTACAATAATTGATATGTCCACACTGAAAAAACTGATCAATTACTTTAATTAAATGTATTATGTCAACAGATTTCCCAACTGTATTAGGTTAGTTTAAAGCAATCATATTAAGATTAAATAAAATTAGGTTTAACTTAATATTATTGCTTGCAACTAACCTAATACAGTAGTGTGACATTTGTTGACATAATAGATTTAATCAAAGTCAACGTTTCAGTTTTTTCAGTGCAGTTAATAATATGGTAAACCAAAGAAAAACTCAAACAACAGAAAGGGTCCAGGAAAAGGAAGAGGTGAAATGGCAAGGTATCAATGAAGCCCTGATATTGGAGGATGTCAAAGGTTAAATGCATTTTTGTGTGGGAGGATTTATTGTTTTGCTCAGCTGGGAAAATATATGCGACATCTTCCTCAGAGGATCCTTGACCCTGTGTCCTCTGACCTTTTGCTGACGACTGAAGTCAGAGAGAACAACGGAAACAATCAGACTCACATACTTGCAATTCAGGAGGCGCCTGAATATTGTTGGTGGAATTTGTGAATGGATTCATAAGCATGTTTTACAAAGCTGTGATTTAATTAACATGTTGAAGTTTCAATATTAGCATAATTGTCCTTATTATATTCCTTTCTATTTGTCATTCAGAAGCACTTATGAGTGAGTTTGAAGCCGTAATACTTTTCAAAGCAAGTACGAGTCTCTATTTGTGTTTTAATTTTTCCCAAAAAGATACAATTGCGTTACAATTGCAACTCAAGGGCAATATATTTTATTATACATAATTATGTTACTGATCACAAATGTTATGTTTCAACACTTAACCCTCCTGTTGTGTTCGGGTCAAATCTGACCGATTTACTACTTTCATCAATCATAAATATTGTGTTTTACATGTGATTGCTTCAAGGCCCTAAGTAGGTATATGAACATGTGCAATTGCTGATTAACGGTTGTATCAATTGCAAGCATTTCCAAAGAGTAAAGTTGTGTTATTTGTATGCAGACTGAGGAGACTGGGTTGGATCACCACTTTCATAGAATTTGAGTGGTTTAGTCTTCTTAACACCTATGATGTTCCCAGTCAAAAAATGAGGGGTTAACCCTCAATTATGTTCATCAATCAGATAGTACACACCCAAAAAATCAACAAAATGTTAAGTTTGGAATACATTTTCAGTGTATGTACATTCACTGAAGTTATTCACATAAACCAGTAGTCTGAGAAATTGTTGACAGCTTAAAGGGGTGTTAAATACAATTTGGTGATGATTAATGGCTTTTGTGTTAATGTAATAGCAGTTAAAACAGACCGGTCAAATTTGACCGGGAACACCAGAGTAAGGGGGGAGAAATGAACACAACAGGAGGGTTATCAGATGAACAAAAAAAGACGGATAGACATGTACACAGATAGGTACATAACCAATATAATACATTTACTCATAGTCTTACTTTTGCTCTTACTCGTGCTCTTACTGTTTGGATGTATTCGAAGTGGTTACCGTCCTGTTGAAAGTTGATGGGCCTCTGGTTGAAGAACCACTGGAAAGCCACATCCAGCGAGGTGTCATGGGCGGCCTTGCAGCTCAGCACCACGCTCTCCCCCACAGTCACTTCCACTCGAATCGGGCTAAGCTCCACACGCATGGCCTCTGGAAGCACAAAGCTGCTACACTGTCACCTCAGGCTAACCAGAAGCTATAGCGCCAAGTAGCTGCGTTTCACTGTGACATCACCGTCAGAGCAGTCACGATTGGGCCAACCACAGCTTGAGCGGCACCTTTGTCAAACAAATATCCTGCTTTGCTTTGATCTGGAGTGTGGTGTGCAGTGCATCTATGAGACTCAGGCCTTTACGCTGTAAAAGTGTGTCCTTGTAATATGATTCTTGAATGTGAGAGTCCTTGGTTCACGGTTCAGCAAGCACAATACATTTCCTGGCACCCGAGCAAAGGTAAGGGGGGGGGAAATGACATTGGGGACTGTTTACTGGTGGTTGACTTGTGCTAATTTGGCAGAAGATAAAGGCCCCCAGGGCATCACTTACCTTTTACCCACAATACGGCAGTCATCTCCGCCGAGCCCAGCTCATTCTCGGCCCGGCACACATAGTTCCCCTCATCTGCTCGGCTGGAGTTAACAATTCTCAGAGTATTGTTCCGTAGCAACATAATCCTGTGAGAAAGGACACACAAATCAATACTGGTATGAAAAACAAATTCAGGAATGATGAGTTGTTCGACACATTTAGGCATGAGGTTTTATGCTTGTGGTCTTGTTGGGTTACAGGAATAGAAATATTTACTTGGGATGAGATAAAATAAACTGCTCAGACATCCTTGAAATGATCATCCACTAGAGATTGCAGTGGAAAATATAAAACAAAATAGTGTTTACCGCTGGCAAATTATTATCACTGAATTGAAGGGCAGAAAAGTATTTGACAGTAAGTTGTTTAAATAAACACTTAGAGGACTGAGGGATGTGTGAAGGATGTGAAGTGATTGTATATAACCTTCAACAAGAGAGACGGAAATGAACCCTTTCCACTCAGAATCAATCGACCATTGGAATATGTTAATGAACCTGATTTGCAGATACCACTAAGTAGCCCTATCTTGAACATGATAAAACACTGATTCTACTAAAGATACATATAAAGGTAATAGGGACACATGGTCAGAAAAAAAGAGTGACACCAAAGCAATGTTTGGAACAAAGAAACTCAGTATTCTTCTGACTTTCAATTTGGGTCCAATGATGCACTATATCTGATCTTATGCCTTTGAAAGAGCACAATGGGCTTCTATTAGAGTAATTACAGTATCATTTAAAATCCATTACAGGACAGTTTCGGAGCATAATTTGTGGAGAGCACTACACAAGTTGAAATAAAATAGATGTTTTGATTATTTGTCCCTCTGCATTCAAATGTCTATACATTTATTATTTGTTCAGCATTTATCACACACACTGTTTATGAACCCACACGACAGACCATAAGTATTCCTGCATTCACTGCATCTAAAGCTGTCAAACCCAGAAGTGGATATCATTGAGATTCCCCCCCAGGGAAAAAACAAGTGTACTAGAGAGAAGAAACAACACCACACCTGCATTCATAACATAAGTAGCCTCTTATGCAACTTAAGGACAAAAGCAACGCTGTATAAACATGTCGCTCAGACTTGTAAATAACATATGGTGGCTTTAGAGGAAAATCATACATATATATGTATAGCATTATGAAGTGAAGTGTCCTGTGCAAGCACTTTTTTATTATTGTGGTACGTATGTATATCACATTTAAATGATGCCTTCCATACCGAGGTGGTAATGCATATTTTAAAAAGTATTTGTTTTCAATAGCATATCGATTTTATTCAAAAGCAAACAGTCAAAATGATGGAGCTGTGATGAAGTCTTTTTATTCGACTTCATATTGTTTGGCATTTATATTTACTGCAGTAAGCCGTTTCATCATTGACAAGGTGATTGAAATTGGCACAGAGAAACTCACAAAGGCGTGGCAACATCTCGCCACACATTCAGACAATTCAGAAGCAATCTGCAGCCAGGAGACATGTTTCAAATTGAGAAGGTAATTCACATTCAACAAGGACACCGAGGCAGAAAGGACATGAAGGGACTGTTGGGCATACAGAATATGCAAATACATTCAACCTTAGGATATTTCAAGGAAACATCAGAAGATCACACCATGATGGGGAGAGTTTCTGATATGAAGCCAAGCAGACTGCATTTTTCAAATAAAAAAACAACTTATCAGTGTTTATACAAATGGCCAAATCATGCACTGTCTGACTGTTAAACAAAGAGTCCGTGGGTTTTGACTGAGTCTGCCACATTCTCTCAAACTAATGGGATTAATACTTTCTGTTTAAGAGACAAAAGCCCTGAACATTAGCGGAAATCCATGTTAATTACAAACTCATTAAGTCAGCAAAGCTGTCAATGCCAGATAAACGTGAAGCTGTTTCGATTCCTCCCCCGCTCTTCTAAGAACAGAACGTCTCTCCATCCATAAACTCTTTACTTTATTATGGGTAGTGGCAGAAAATCCTTGCAGGAGTCACCCTGGCCAAGACCTAAGAAGGTTGTTCGTTTCACCTTTTTCAGATACAAATCACCCTTTCACAAGGTTGATCTCCAGATGAGCGTTGACCCCTTAACCATCCAGCTCATTAACGCACTGTACAGAATCACCTTTAAGATGTGTCAAACATTCTATTCTGGTATAAAAGTAACACAGCCGCGATGACATTTTGAGGAAACTAGACCACATACGGCTTGTATACAATGCCAGCACCTAATAGTGAATGATGAATTACTCTGCGGGGAAGAAATTAACTACTTTGCCAATAACGTCCATGAACAATTTTCTGCTCTCTTAAGACACCACTTTATCATAAGTCAGATGAAAACAAGATCAAGGTGTTTTTTCGGACAGGTATGACTCTCCCCGCGGTGCACGCCAAAACCACTGAAAAATAGATTTGCCAGAGTATGAAAAATACCTCAAAGGCTTTTTATCAGATCGAGACAAGCCAGGGTCATTAATCACCATTTAGGGGCAACACACTCACAGACTCATCCACATCCATCAGTTTCACTGTAGCCAGGTTTTTTATAGAGAACAGACACCCAAAATTAGTGATGAGGACCACTTTTCTTTAATGGAAGATTCAGTTGCACCAACCTTTGAAATTAACAACTACTCCTTTTTTCAATTTGGCCTGAAGTTAAGTCGCTGGCTCTTTGAAGGACACTCACAGATCTGATTATCAACTGGCTTTTTGCTGCGAGACTGTGGAACAGACAGCTGAATCTTATCTCCCTCAGAACTCGGGACACTGAGTATTTCAGTGGTGTCGCTCAGTTTGATTGATGGACCCTCGCCCCGCTAAGCCCCCCTCTAGGAGCGACGGAGAGATGTTTCTCATAAAAGATGATGCATCAAACTGCGTGTGGATTCCAAATGCAATTGTACGGTCTAAATTGTCAGCATCCATGAGAAGGAGGGGGGGCTATGGATGTGTCTCCAGAGCTTTCCTGTACCTAAGGTGTTTTATTCTAGCAGTGACACTTCATTTTGGTTACAGTAATGAAACTGTGATGTGTTACAACAAGACATGTATGCAATTCCTGAGGGGCGAGAGCCATAATGATAACACTTGAAGTTACGCAGTGGAACTATGATGAAAAACAATTTTTTGGGAGGGACAAACTTTTCATGACTTCATACATATTTTACAGGGCAATTAACTTTCTCATATAACGTTCTTTTCTCTAAACTGTGCAGAGGAATAAAAAAAAAGTAAACTATTTAAAACAGAGCTCTGGTTATGACGCAGCCTATCCCGGTGAATTTAATTTCTAGGGTGTCTTCACATAGAATATTGCTATTTTGAATGCCCATAAAAAGCATTAAGCAGATCATTACTATAGAGATATTACATGGAGGGACATTTTCTAGTTTTTATTGCATTTTTTAAGATCACAAAACATTGCCAATACAGAGGGCAATATTAATTGGCATTAATATTGATCTGTCGGAGCTATACATGTTGCTTTAATAAAAACAACACTATGTTTTAATATGCAGTATGTTACCATGAACTCAGTATGTTTTGTTTTTAACATTTTGAGCTGTAAATTAAGGTTGAGCTATGGTTTGGTTTGAGGTCATACGTCTGTGGACTCTGTGCTGAGGTAAACAGAACACTGGCTCTAGGGTTTCTGCAGGTTTCAAGTTCATGTTAAGACCTTTTCAAGATCATATAATGAACTTGTTTATATTATATTACTATATTTAACCATTCATACTGGCAGAGGCATAAAGAAAAATGAGTTGCCACCTAATGAAACTAAGCCTAACAGTTACGGTGCAGTATGAAGTTCAAACATTTATTGACATGTAGCAATCTAAGTTTCAATCTGGCTAAATCTAATTTCTAAAGCACAAAGCAGTCACCATGGAGATTATGAAACGCTTCATGGATGTGTTGGAGTAAATTATGAGCAGGGTGCAGAACCTTTATTCATGGTGGGAAATCATGCATTGTGGGTCAGTTCTCCGGCCGAGCAAAAAATGTATTCTGACAACCCTCTCTTTATTATTTAAAGTTAACAACGGTGGAGGATTGTTTTTTTGAGAGAACATTTTAGACCGTTTTAGGCTTCAATTTCAGACAATTTGATTTAATTTTCAAGGACTTGCAGAAACCCTTGGTATCCCCTGCCAGCTTTGCTGTTTAAATGGAGAATTGTTCCTACATGGATCAATAGCACAATGCATTTCTATTAGATCATATACAAAATAATTATAACTAACACACACTCACACACAGAGCTACTACAGTGTCACACAATGCTTCTTAAGAGTTGCTGTACCTTCTGCTTTGCTGTATCCTCCGGTCTCCTCTCTTCCATGTTATCCGTGGTTTGGGCGAGGCTTTGGGTTTACATTCTAGCAATATATCTTTTCCAAGTGTAGCAATGACCCGCACAGGATTATGGACAAAGACAGGAGCCGATGCTGTGAAAGACACAAAAAATGTGTTGTTTACATTTAAAGAGAGACATAGAAAATAATAAAGTCATATCAGCCCACACACTTCTATACTATTTATGAGATGTATTATTTCCAAGTTTAGCTCTTGTCATAACAAGCATGGTTAATTAAATGTTTTAATAAGTTAAGATACAGTATGATGATAGGAATTATGTATATATTAATTTCTTTGTAAGATATGTAATATCATATATGTATTTGTTTTAAATCTATCTTTAGATAGTGTTGTTGACAACCAGTACATGCGCTGTATAAATTATGTATTTTTATATTATTTGTTATTTAAAAAAATTAAATACTAAGATAAGCTGCTTTGTAGAAATGTGAGAAGCTGTTTTCAGCTCAACGGAAAACCAACAATGGCAAGTAACACCTGAACACAACCTGAATAACTTCAGTTTCTGTGAGTTTGTCTTAAATATAGTTTTAATTAATTGCGAGGCTGCTAAAATGTAATATACGTTTCAACATACTTGTCGCACCTCTTCAACTGTGGCATTTCAAAGTAATTACTTCAAAAATGCTAGAGGGTTTTAACTGACACATCATGACTCATATGGCTGCATGATCAAAATGCTAATTTTTTTAAAGTAATAACCCAATTTTCAATGTGAATAATTACAAAGCATGCTTTTATACAAACAATAGCTAAACATGCTTTCAATATACTGTATAATGTGGTATACTTGGTCTTATCTCTGTGCTAATTCAGTACCCATTACAAATCTATTGTGCCGCCTAATTACTAAAAAGCTGTCATAATGTTAATGATGACATGCTGTGATGATTTGTACTGCTTTATGTTTTTAACCCATATTTAACCAGGCCACTTGAGTGAATAATAAATACATATTTATTTATTTATTTTAACATTCACAGCAAGCTCGGGAGAATAAATTAGGCACTAATGGTCTAAATAAGGCTTCAGGCACTTAAGTCGATGTGGTAGTGGTATACAGCTGTATTACACATCAAGGCCATTCACAGGCTGCGAGGCTTTGTCAACTGTGATTATTCTAATCCCGAATGATGTTTTAAAGGTGACATTATTTGCAATGACAATTCAATCCCATGTGTAGCTACAGGCTGACCCTGCTCCCTGAAACATTTGTGTCTTTGAGGCTGAGTAGTTGCCTGAGTGGCAGAGGTCCCTCTAGACACGGAGAGCAGCAGAAAACAGAGCAGTTGCTGTGAGTATTTGTTTTAATCAAAATAAGAGCAGGCCTGCAGCTGGTGGCAGCAGTGCCCTTATTGCTTCACCCGCCACCCTCCCAGAAGAGCTGGATCTGGGACACGATCACAGGCATGAGGGCAGCCGCTGCCCCCGTCTGGCCTCCAGTGATCGCTCATCTGCAGGCTGGTATTAGCCATTTAATCTGTCCTGATAGTGTTTGCTTGTGGACATCTCCGCAGAGCACAGGTCACTTGGAAGACATGCCTGGGGGGCATAGTTATGAAAACATTCATCACCAGCTACCAAATACCATCATTGTGACAGTGACTCAAAGGAAGGCAAAAGCACTTCCTCGTCAGGTCAAATACAACTTAATACAAATCCAAACTTCTCACTTGTGTAGATCACACCGAGAAGACTTAAAAGTGGCTGTTTCAAAATGAATCTAATCTAATGTTTTCAGAGACAAACAATGTATAGATTTTTCCCACAACAAAAAACATCCATTTGCAATAAGATTTTCAAAATGCCAAAGATTCCCCTTCAAAAAAGGGCATGCCACACAGACAGTAAATCAAACTGTCCCTCTGGGAAATATGAAAGGGGAATGGGTGTCACCAGACGTATCCCGGTATAGAAGATGACAGGGAGAAAATAGTGCATCAGCACAGAACATTGGACAGTCGGTTATGTTTTCAGCCTGGAGCCATACATGTGCGTCTAAAGAGCACAGTTCCCTTGGCTTTTGGTGCCCAAACATTTTCAAATACATGTGACTCCTGTTCTGCTGTTTAAAAAAATATATATATACAGTATACTGTATATATATATATATATTAGGGATGGGCAAAATTATTTTCGCATATTAACGTATTAATTAACGGTTACAATTATTTTATTGCGCATTAACAGTTTTTTTTATTATTATTTTGAAAGTCTGCTGCTCACTGGCTATGAATACACATACAGACAAACCATGGGTCACAGGGTGAAAATGTTGATCAGTATTGGCTTAGGGTGGGCGTCATCACACGTCTCAACCAATGAGAGCATTTTGGGTGGGCCTAAGATTGCTGGCCATAAAAATTGAGAAAGGAACCAAACTCTTACATGGACAATTTAGATATCTTCCAGAGATGATAGAACCAAAGTTATTTGTAACCAATGCAAAGTAGAATTGTCCTATCACTGGACTCTGAGGGTAACTTGTTTTATAACAAACAACATAACACGTTAATGCCTTGGCAGTGGAAAATAGCTTTGGTTTTATATTTGATGTGATACATTACTTCATGTTTTAGTTGAGATTTACAAGACATTGTTTAATTGCTACTGTGTAAAGGGAATACTGCTGTTAAAAGCACCTATTTGTTCAAAGTGTTTGCAAACCAAATTATATTGCACTATTGCACACAATAGCAGTACTTAAAATAAAAGTGCGGCATACACTACTTTTGAATTAATTATAGAATGTTGCGCATAACAATGCGATTAATCGCAGAAAGTCATGCGATTAATTGTGATTCAAAAGGTTGATCTTTGCCCAGCACCTATATATTATTTTCTTTGTATTTCTTTGTTGAACGAATAAAATACATGAATCTCCAGACTTTAGCTTTAAGCTTTCCCATCTGCAGTCCCTCGGCAATTTTACACATAACAATCAACAAACCCTAAAACATTACTTAGTGTCCATCACACTAACAGTTATAAAACAGATGAAAGTAGAGATCAAATAGCAAACACTGGCTAATAACTACCTATTAAAAGTCATGCCTAAAGTAGAGGTTTGTTTTTTCTAAGTAATTGTGATGGAGGCTGTGCTTTGATGACAAACGATAAAGTGGAGATAAGACTCTAATGGACTCTAATTAAACTCCATCAAAGAATCCATTGATGTCTCTCCTCGAGTGTTTGCTCCCATTAGTATAAATCTATATCTACAAGTCATTGCTTTTCGTTCGCCCCAGATATAACCAAGAACTGTTCCAGACTCTCCTCAACTTGATACGTGCAGGCACCTCATTGAATATAACCATGAGAGTCCTTCTTTTATTCATGCCGTCCCCTGTCTGGGTTAAATCAGGGACCATTGATTGGCAATCAGCACATCTCCCAGTTCAGCGTTCCACACTTGCATTTCAATCTCCCTTACCTATCATCCGGCACCTTATTCAGATGCCAATACTCAGTCTGCAGTTCTTATCATTGGAGAGTATCAAGAATGTCCATGTCCTTGGCATCATAACAATACCACAAAATATGATTTAAATGTCCTTTTTGGACGGATATAAAGAATAAACAGAATGTGAAATTACCTAAAATCTTGAGTTCAGCATTAGAGTTGATGGACCCGTATTTATTTCCCGCAACACACTGGTACATTCCCGAGTCCGTCTGCTGCACTCTGTGAATGGTCAGTTCGCCATTCACTATTTCCATACGACCCTGTAACAATAAAAAAGCATATCTAAATATAGACTTAAAGTGATAATGCTACATATAGTGGGCAGGTAGTTCCATCTGGTACAATCAACAAAAGGAGAGGGTAGTGTGTATTAGGGAACGTACCTGGGATGTCAAGGGCAAACCATTCCGCAGCCAGTGATATGTGGGCCGGGGCCTCCCCATGGCCTTGCACTCCCATTGGAGCTTCTCTCCACTATCCATCTGGGTATCATTAATCATTCTGACCCACTGAGGGAGGGCTTACAGATAGAAAAAAAGAAGAAGATTTAGAATAAGTAATATATCCTTGAAACACACCCAAGACACCTGGACTTGGAGGAGAAAAACGGCCACAAATACACTGCCAAGAGGTCGTGTTTGAGACAGTCGCCACAATATGAAAGGCCCCACCAACTCTCCTACAAAAGGAGTAAAACATGCAGACTTTATAGGTATTTATTGTAATTAGTATAAAGTTGCTTTGTTGAATGTTAGATTATGATGATTATGATCTTTTTTTTTTACGTTAAACCGCTACTATGGACAGCAGAACGTTGCTAAGAATACTTTGATCGAGGGATTATGAGCAGACATTTTTTGAATAACCATTGTTTATATCTTTGAAGAGCATGAAACATTAAATTCATGACAGCTGAACTATTGGCATTAAAGAAAAGAAAAATAGAACAAGGATAAGAAAACTGCGCGAGAGAAGGAAGGAGGTTGGGTGATAGAGAAATCAGTAGAAGAAGACAGACAGGAAGTAAACACTCGAGGGAACACAGTATGGGCTCTGGCAGAGTGTAAAGACTGGTCAATGAAAAATGTTTAAGATACAACAATGCTATTGCAGCAGTTCCACACACTTTGTTGTTACTTTGCATTAAAACGTAAACATTTTTCTGTGGAAGCTAAGACATTCTTTTTAAATAAATAACATGTTTAAATCAAGATCTTGTGTCAAATGATTGATCTTTTCAGTGAGTAGCCATGTAAAATGCCAGATAATATGAATGTCATTGTAGTGAAAAGGAACACTGTGAGAGTGATCAGGACCCCCACCGGCTCACTGCATATTATCCTCTACTGAGCAGGGGCGGACTTGGACAACAACTGGGGGGGGTGCTATAGTGAGTAAATACCGCTAGTAAATTATCGACGGGGGGGGGTGACTTATCTGAACGACCCACATCGTCCGACCGGCCCACTTCAGAACCGGCCCATCGGGATTCGTCTCAAACGTCCCGATGGCCAGTCCGTCCCTGCTACTGAGCCTCTTTTGCGTTGTTTGTTTGTGTCTTCTTTAAAGGTCCCATGTCATGGCCATTTCTACTGATCATAATTCCATTGTTGAGGTATTCTAAAGTAGATTTACATTGTGCAATTTTCCAAACTCACATTGGTTTCTCATACAGCATCTCTGTATAGTATGTGTATTCACTCTCTGTCCTAAACGGCTTGTTGGGGCTCCGGCCCCCCTCCTCCCTGTGAGCCCAGTGTGGTCTGATTGTTCGGGACGTTGCGAGGCTCGCGGCTCAATGATCTGGCTTACTGGTGTGGTTTCCGGGTCGGCGATACAGTGAGAACAAGCGAAACTCATCCTGGGCACACACAAACACTCACAGCCGAAGTAAAAACAATAAGTGTGGCTTGACATTGATTAAGAAAAACGTTTACAGTATAAACGCTGTGAGAATGGATCGCGGAGAGCATTTCTCCGCAATCCCAACTCGTCTATTACCAACCAGGGAGCTCTATGCAAGTCAATGGGACTCCCTGTTAGTTGAAAATGTACGCTAAATGTCCTGGTGTGTGAGGAGCTCCGCGGATTGGTCCATTTTGGTTCCGGGAACCGAATCACGTCATGCGGTTCCACAAAGAAACAAATGGAAAAAGAGAAATCTCCAACGAGGCGCTCTGGGGTAGCATAGACAGGTCTTTTCTGTTTTAGAGTTTTACTCGCTACAGGGTGTACTTTGAGGGTTTGTGACTCTGCAGACCGAAAAACCTTCATAACACACAAGGGGACGGGTAATAACCAGAAAAGCATGACATGGGACCTTTAAGTCTTTTTGGGGTGATCTGTGTGTCTCTTAGTATTTTTTTTCGTCTCTTTTCAAGTGTCTTTTGTATCTTTCTGGTAATTACAGTATGTGAGCCTTGAGGAAATCATGTGTTCCTTTGTGGTAAATGTGAGTCTCAATGTAGTGTTTGTGCTATTTGTTTTGTTCATTTTTCCCCCTCTCTTTGGCAAGGCAAGTTCATGCATATAGAACATTTTAACAAAAGGCCATTCCAAGTGCTTTACAAAAAATGAAAACCATTAAGAGCATTAAGATCCAGTGCAGGCAAATCCAGTTATAAAATGGCATTCAGAAACATTTCAAAAAAATCATTAAAAGCGTTACAAAAAAGAAAACGCTAATACAGTGTAATCCAGTTATAAAAAAATAAAAATAATTACAGAGCAATTTTAGAAATGAATTGTTTGGATTCAATTGAAAGCAGCGGCAAAAAGAAAAGTATTTAACCCTATTGTAATCATTATAAATAATGTGTACCTTTGAGGTTATTGTTTGTCTGTTTGTAGTCATTTTGTGTGTCTTTGTAGTTGTTTTATGTTTCTATTTAGTTGTTTTGAGTGTCTGTGGTGGGTTTGTCTCTCTTTGTAGTTTTTTTTATGTCTCCATAGTTGTTTTGAGTGCATTTTTAAATATGTATGTTTCTTTGTGTTTATTATGAATCTCTTTTTTGTTGGTAGGTATCTCTTTCATGGACATTTTCCAAGCGAAGGCCAATGGCTCTGCGTCTGTCAGGCCTGGTAAATAATCCATCCATGAAAGTATAAATGTATTGCAGTTGTAATCCTTTAGTAGCAAAGTCCTAAAAGAAGCCATAGTTTGTTTAAGCCTCGGTTTTACCTTATGCCTTTTCATATTGCATATTTGTTTTAGTTGTTCTTAATAAAAAAATCCTTGAATCCTCTCAAGGCAAAATAACTTTGATTTCTTCTGTACTTTTGCACTGCATATAACAGATTTGCCTTATAGTAATAAGGCATCTTCGTTTCATGTCCTCTGTTCTGGATTTAGACCTTGAAGAACTGAGTGAAAATGCCCAACCTTTTCTAATGAGGTGCTGGCTCACAGCCAGACATCAAATAAAGGTGCCGAAATGTGTTAAGTGGTGTGGAGAACTAAAGGGCTGGTGTTAAGTATACTTTATACGGCAGTAAAAACAACAAGCACGCTTTTGAGGAGCAACACATGCAATATATTTGATCACATTTTCTTATTTTCTTCCATATTTGTATAGAACATTCCCAGAAAAGGCATACATCATGAGGATGTTTTTCACTTCCTGTAGCAAAAACAGATACAAGCTACATACTGTCATGTTCAGATTATTTAAAATATGGGATGTTTTGCTACCGCACATTTAAAATGTACTAAAATAGTTTAAAGAAATACCTGTTAGCAGAGAATAAAAGCCCCTCTCCAAATTGGATATGTTTTGCTACCAAATATTTGAGTATAATGATCATTAATGAGGAATTGTTTGTTCATTTGTATTTTTGTAGCTGTATACACTCTCTCTATGATACTGCTATTATTGTTGAACTGTATCTAATGTTTAACTGACTATGTATGGTACTTATTGTCACTGTAGTTATTAGAGACATTAGAAGTTGTCTTGTTGTTAATTTATTTATATATTGCCCGTCGATTAAGATACGATTTTAGTTTTGACATATTATATTTTCCACTTTTCCCCTTGTCTCTGTTTTTTTATGTTGCTATTATGCTTTTTTCATGGGATTGAACAGCTTTTTATTGGTAATGACTTAAGGGAGGTGGGGCAGGCTGTTATGGGAAATAAATTGAGGCGTTCTAACTTAAGCTAAAAAAATACATGAGTTTTTGTATTTATAGGATATTTTTCAAAGACCATACACATTGGACACTCCAGTACAGCCTTATGGGCATTTATTAAAGAAAGAAAGAAAGAAAAGATCCAGGGCAACGTTTGTCAGACACGTGAGCTTGTTCTTTTTTCTTCTCCCTCTGAATGGCTGATCCATGCCATAGACAAACTCAGCAACTGTGTTTCCCGGGGAACCCTTAACCTTCTTTTCTTTTCCTTTTTTTCCCTCCACTTCACATTCTGCAAGGACTCTGTCGCAATTCAAGATCTGAGCAGCGTGCTGTATAGGCTGTTTGTACTTTCTTTTCATCTTGTAGTCTCTTTCTGTCTACTGGGGCCTATGCTGCATATGTTTGCACATTCTTCCATTCCAGTACATTTACACAAATATGAAGTTTATAAGAACCTTTTACACGGGGAAGGATCATTTTTGCGGTCTTGTGTAGGGGAAGAAATGTTAATCCCTATCCCAAGTCTTTTTCCTCTCTTATCTTAATCTCCTTTACCATATACTTTTTGCTCCGTGTTTTCACGTTCAAATAAGGCACTTCACTTACAAATGCATACGGGGACATCAATTGTTGTATTTTGTGAAGTGAATCTCTTTGGATAAAAAGCGTCAGCTAAATGCAATGTAATGTAATAGCAGTAATACGAAAAAAATTGTTTTATAAATGTGTGTATACATTATTAAAATAACACATGCAACCAGAACTAAACAACCAATTCATAAAGAGTGAATGTGAACGATGTTTCCAGATATTAATACAAACATCTTTCTGTATCCAATGATACAAATTGCATTGTGGTGTGTTTACAGTGTGTGTAGAAAGGAGGAAACCCCACCACTGAGCTGCTTCTCCTGCAGGAACATGCCAAGCACGTTATTTGCTATTCTTTGCATACGGCGCCTTTGGTAGAATGTGTGTTGTGTGGTTTGATTGCATGGTTATGGTCAAGGTCTTGATCACAATGCGAGTTGAAGCTTCCAGAGGACCTGTGTAAATTACATTCAGCGTGAGGCTGCTACAAATTAGCTCCCTATTCTCCTTGTGATGTCAACAGAATGGAGGGAGCCAAGAAGTGCAGGGCCTTGGCTGTGTGTCCCACCGAGGCTCAGGCAGTCCATTATCTACCATGGTGTGCAAAGGCAGTAACTCAGCACACTTTATAAATTGTAAGGTGGTTAGAAAACGAAAAACTGTTCTTTAAGGGAATTCTCTCCTGAATTTAAAATCTTATAATTGTACAAAACTCAATGTTTTTAATTGATAAGCTTATACTTTGTAATATTAATAATTTAAATTTCTACTTTAACATGAGGAAAATACAATATAAGTGGATTGGTCAAGATTGTTTGGTCTGAATTATTTATAATCAAAATCTTTAATGATTTTATTGTGAATGTATCATTTAATTTAAAGAAATGAGTCTAATCTGTTAACAAAAAAAATAATGTGTAGCTACAAAATAATTACAAACATGCATTTTGGAAATCAATATCCAAAGGCATGTATGTAACTACTAGAGAAAAATTGTATATATTTTGATCATATTATAAATGAAGAAAATACAGAGAACAACACTCTATTAAAACAACTTGTAGAGAGGTAGTTCAGATCATTTTGAACATTTCAAGAAAAAAAGCAGCCGTCAGCTTGAAAAGATATCGAACCAAACTCAAATAAATAGCTCATTGGTTGAAGTGATGAACACTTGTTAATGGAGTATCTGCCAGACATTGAATCTTAAAACTCAGCAGCTTGAATAACACAGCTAATGTCAAATTGCTACTTTAGAATTTTCTATTCAGACCAATATTCTAGAAAACAACACTTGCTCTTGTAAGATGTCTGATGGCTGATGGAAAGCAAAAGACAACTCACTGTAGACCTGTAGATGTCCTTTGAATGCAGTGCCTCCTCTTGGATTCTCAGCTTTACATTCGTAGGTTCCCGAGTCCTCCAGTTGAATGTTGGGAATCTCCAGCACAGCCTGGGACTTCCGGAGTCTGGCTTTTTTTGGGATGTTGCCATTAATCTTCCTCCATGTGATTGTTGGCACAGGACTGTGAGGAAAGAAGAGTGGAAATATAAAGTCAACACTACAGAGTCATAAAGGAAGTATTTACACACAGTTGGATGTGAACTGCAATGATTGTATTATAATAGATAAATATAAACATCGTGATGAATCCTTCATCTCTCAATGACATTGAAACAATAATTAAACTAGTAGTTAATGTACCCTCATCTTAATGCAATTTCCTATATGTTTAGATTATCTCTAGTCTGCATCTATGTGAGAATATAACAAAGGACAAATAAAGGAAAACAAAGTACACCTCAGTCCTTTTCTTATATTGGTTGTGTGAGCTATTACAGACTTAACTCAAGTTTAATGCTAACCTAATGTCATTTCAAGACATGCCTGTGGCCTTTTGGATATTGTTGTCGATATTGTCACATTTTATCTTTATGGTTATTTGAAAAAAATAACCATCCGGATATTCAATAATGAAATTACTATACTATAATAACATCTAACTGTAACATACTACACTAATGACCTAGTTTGCATAAGTCCTTCATTTGTAATTACGTGTTGACAAGTTATGATGAGTATTTCAGTGTGAATCACTAACGTTTGGACCACTTGTGATATATTTACTATACCAAATGACCCACACATTATACCCCGGGGTTTCAGAGGGACAGGGACAAGATTCAAATCAGGCCATTAACTGCCAACAAGGTTTTTATGATTAGTGTTCAGGCAATGTCATTCATTCCTGTTTATTCATGGGTTGCCCTATAGATCCGTATGATAGATGACTTGCCCGCGCGGAGACAGAACGTCTGACTTGGCGCTCTGTATCGGTAGTGCTCTTGTATGACAACTAGATTTGACAGGTGTCTAAAAGATGGAAATTTGACACCATACAAACCTCCATTGAACCCATCAATCATTTAGCCAAGATGGAAATGTTACATCCCAGAGCTTTTTTATCTGCTCTAAATTCACAAGGAAATTGAAGAGCTCTTGGCTGCAGTGCGCTGAAATAAGGATTCAGAGGGTGTTTTGTATTATACTCAGCGTTACTTCACACACACACATTCTTTCACATTAGGCAGGAGTTTTGTGTCAACATTTCTTTGTAGACTTTATATTTTATTTCGTTTTTTTTTAATAGCCAGCTCATTACTGTAATGCATGTATGTAGGTGACCTGACATCACTTACACTTTTAAAAGGGATTTCTTCAGTTATCAGGGCCTCACATTTCTGCACATGGATTTAGGGATAAAGTGTGATCACTAAATTACTATGTCTTAATCCAAAGTTTGACAAGTAAAGCAAGTGGTAATTTAATACACTTGGTAATGACAATATATGATGCCCTATTGAAAAATAAAAAGGCTGCCCCATGTCAGTCACTATTTGGTCACTTCGGTCTCTGTCGGCTAACATCTCTTTTGTAAATAAGTCATTTTGTTATTGTTGAACTCATGCTGAATGACTTATTTCTAAGAAAAATAATGAGCACATCTCTGGTAAACATTGCATAATTATTTGAGGAGATCTGTTGATTAAATAAATGTATCAATTATTCATATTTGTGTGTTAGAGTGCTTGACGACGAGTAACAGCTCTAAAATATACGGAATTGTCACTTGAGTTGGAACTTATGTAACATGAATTCTAGTCATAAATTAATCTATTTGAATAATGTAGGAAAAGTAAGTCGCTGTCATCACTGGCCAAATCAAAACATGTTCTATTTATATAGCCTAATATCAGAAATTACCAATTAGCCTCTGGGGGCTTTACAAATATGTTACATCCTACATACTAGTATCTCCTCGTCTGCAGTACAGAAAGCTATACATTTGCTGTGTAGGTGGTGAATGAACAGCACACATCGTCCCATACAGATTTGTTACGAGGGGCAACATGTGGGGCCTGAGGTGAAATCAAATATCTGTTTTCTTTTTTTTTTACATGGGTCCATTTGTTAGTACTTGGCATTTTCATCCCAATATGGCTGTGGGCTGTAGGAACAACATAAGCACATGCTAACAATAGACAAAAAAAGATTGAATGGGCGCTCATGAATACGGCATGCAGTTGGAGCCCTTCCTTCGACATTACTGATGGAGAAATGTGCGGGAGACCTTTGGACGAGCCAGAGAACAGAGTAAATTTATAGAAACCTCCAGGGGCTGGAACATGAGGGTGAATCTTCCTGAGTCTGTGGTCGGATTTCTCTTTGGAGGCTGAATAATGAGCGCCTGTACGTGTCCACAGGACTGGGGGCAGGCAGGAGGGAATAAGCTCACTCTCAGATAAAGAAACTCTGCCTGTCAATGTCTTCCATATGAATCTGTGGGCAGTAACTCCACAACTACGAAGCTGATGTCCGTTTTATCAGAAGTGTACAAACTGGGTTTTTCATACTCGCAAAATGTGTTACACACTGGAGTTTATGTAAGGTGTTATCGTTTTCCATTCAACAAAGTGCCCATAGGCAGGCTCTGTAGATTACATCTTAATTAGAATTCCACACAATTGCTGCGCCCTCATCTGGACTGGTCTATTTAAAGGTCGAAAATTAAATCCAATACCAAACTTTAATGGAGAACTGGTTTGCTTCAGATCATTAAGATATATTATTCCACCAATTAGTTAATTTTCTGAAATCTTAAGGTTTTGGTCCCCCAAACCCTTGGTTTGCACTTGTATGATCTTTCAAAGACATTAACAAGAGAATCAAATGTATTTTCATTAAGAGGCTCTTTCTGTTGCTGCTGACAATGTGGTCTTCGTGGCCCTGTATAGTTCAAAGAGGGATGTAACTGCAAGGGTTTCAAGAGTCTGATTCCCTTTCTGAAACTAAAAGTATATCCACCACTCTAGGGCAATTGGGATGAAAGCACCCACCACATGTCACATATGATATTTTAAGTGAAATTGAGTGGGCGAATGTGTAGCACATCAAAAGTGAAATGCCTTTTGAACTACATACTCCAATTTCCCATAAAACCGATGCAGCTTACAGCACAGCACTTTCCAGAGTATCCTGTAAGTCAGACAACAAAGTTTTGAATTGCATTTGTTTTGTTTGAAAAACTATATGAATTATATCATCATCTTAAAATGGCTGGCTAGCTGTTTCACATCAGCTAACCACATGCTTTCAATAGCTAATACACACATTACAAATGTGATCGGTCTATTAAAAAAGTGCTAATGCTGCCTCTTTTCACATATATAAGGTCATTTGAAACACAAGCAACGCCGTTCTTGGCAATTATAGAAAAATCATTAAAGAGAATCCACTTTTACAAACCCACAGAATCATGAATAAAAATAGGTCTTGCAGAAAATACTAGAGACTACAACATTACATAGTGACTAGCGAAAGCATTGGACTATTTTTTTACTGCTATCCCTTTCATTGTTATTTGTCCCATTGTTCTCTATGCCCTTGACTGTGGCCTACAAAGTACAGTAACTGGTAAATATCACGCCAGGCAATCATATCATGGAGCTTCTGCATTTACACACAAAGAACTCCTCTGCCCTTTCTTAGATAGTGGTGCCATCATAAATATTGAACAACAGGAGAACAAAACCATTTTAACTTCATTTTCAGGGCTATTTAGAGCCCGGCGTTTCTTAATAGGTGCATTGATAAATCATTCATCTCTTTGTGAAGGGGTAAGTGACTGCTATCACTGTCTGACTGAAAGCATTGCCTTCATTGAAGAAAGTACAGAGCAAGGACCGGCTCTGTTTGGTTGTTCAAAAAGCATCCAAAAAACGCTTGCTGAGCTTGATAGGGAAAACAAAAACGGTTCAAGATTATAATGCGGTTTCTATATATTTAGGAAATGACTTACCATAATGTGTATGCTTGATTGAAATCAAAGAAAACAAATATCAGGCCCTTAGTCATCTGTAGATTAGAGACTGTTTGCACTTAAGATATGAGTCAGCAATGAATAATTCATGTTGACTAATAATTACAAATAACATGAAGTGGGGATGACACATGATTTTGTTCCTCAAGTAAACATATGTCTTGTTATGTGACACACAACTTCAACCTTGCTTCAGCAAAAATAAACATATTTATTTCAATTTGAACAGTAAGAGACAGTTTGTTAAATATAGAGCCTGCAATGCTAAGTTTAGTAACTGTGGTAAGTGGATTGAAGTCTCTGTGTGTGTTTTCCCTCCTGGCAGACAACTATTACCAATTTCATCTTTTCCAAAGATGTAACCCTGGCTTTCTACTTTCATGAAAGACTCTGAAAGCACCCAGGATACACAGATACATTTGGGCTCTCAATTATAAGAACACATGGGTCCCTAAGGCTGAATTCCCTATTCAGTCCCCCTTCCCTCCTCCATGCACTAACATGCAATCTAACAGCCGAGCTACGATGCTGCACTTGTCTACACTCACTTAACATCCCGCCTGAAGACAAGATATGCCTGCTTCCCTTTCAGGTAATGGAATAATGTAATTTAAAGAAGAGGGAAAGCACAGGATCTCTCAGCAACAGAGCGGGCTGTGGTTTACTGTTGCTGGTGATTAGTATGATGCTGCAGTAATAAACAACTACCTATATTTGTGCAATGTGGCCTTGTATACTTACTTTCCCAGAGCGAAGCACTCCAGTCTGACAGTGAGTCCTTTGGCAGCCAGAACAGATGTTGGGAAATGCACCTCAATTTTGGGCTCATATTCGCCCATGACACCTGGAAAAGGTTAAGAAAGAGGAATTGCAGACATTAGAACCAGGCAGATTGAAACGGCTACTTATCCCCCAACCCCCACTGCCTATTTCCCATCATTTTGGTCCTTTCTTGCAGTGTGGTGCACATAGCCTGGGCACAGTGATTTCAAAATAATACGGAGGCTCTCTTACTATTGCCTCTGTACCTGTTTTATGAGAATGCAACTCTTATAGAAAAAAGAATGAAGCAGCAGATCAAAATATCTTGAGGATTCCAGACCTTTCAGAGGCCAATTGTTCTTTGAATGATGCCGCAGCATGCCACTGGACATAATGAACACCATCTGGAGTATGTAACTACCCACAATTAGTTCATATTCTGACTATTAATAGCATTAGTCATTTTGGTTTACGCCAAATACAGAGCGACAGAATAATCATACAGAGAAGCATGTTGGAATAAAGCATGTACTGCTCATGACATTTGAATATAGGTATTGCAATATTACATGCAAGTGTTTCTCTAATGCACATGTGTCAAACTCAAGGCCCGGGGGCCAAATCAGACCCTTGGTGGATTTAATTTCGGCCCGCAGGATAATTTTTAATTACTATTAGATCTGGCCCGCCGGTATATTGCACGCACACCTTCACTCCATCCTGAGGGTTTCCTCAGCTCAGAGTCTGACCCCAAACATTGATGAACTTGCACCCAAGATGAGATGCCAAGTATCTGGCTTGAACTAGCATCACAGAAAAACACACTGAGTTTCAATGGATGTTTCCTTCTGCACTTTTTTTCTTTGAGGGAAATAGTTTTTTTGAAGCTGTTTGTGGCATGTGGAAAAATGTAATCATAAGAAATGATTCTGGAGAAGCTGCAGATAGAGCTATAAGAAATGAATGCAACTGATTATTTAATGTTTAATGTTGTTTTTATTGGCAATAATTTAAGCTTTGTTAGTTACATAACATGTTAGATGTTTTTATCCAAACCAACTTACATAATCAACACTGTGGGCCATCCCCACAGGAGCAATTTGGGGTGAAGTGTCTCAGGGACACGCTGACTGCAGTGGGGTTTGAACCTGTGACCCCCTGATCCCAACACCAACGCTCAACCCACTGCACCGCACGCCTAGTTCCAGGTTTACTATGTGCAATAAGTTCATTTCAATACGTTTTGCAATAAACATTGAACCAATCCGGCCCTCGATGAGCACCGATATTTTTATTTTGGCCCACTGTGTATTTGAGTTTGACACTCCTGTCTTAAGGTGATGAAAGACACATTAGTCCAAATGAATACACGATGGC